GCTGCGGGCCAGATGCTCGCACCGGCGCTGAGGTGAGAGGGGCACTGCTGAGGCAGTGGGCTCACAGCGGCCATAGCCGGGCTGCTGAGGCGCGGGCAGGTGATGGCGATGGTGATATTCGGGTAGGAGGCGCATGCAGAGGGGAGACAGGGGGNGGCAGGTGATGGCGATGGTGATATTCGGGTAGGAGGCGCATGCAGAGGGGAGACAGGGGGATGATGAGGGGAGGAGAGAGAATGTTACGGACTTCGCCAGGGCTCGATCCCTGGTCTATCTTTTGCTGTTTCGGCTGCATCCCGTTTTCGGCCTGGCACCCTTTTTCCAAACCCCTCCTTTGGTACCGTAGGATTTTGGACAACTGGCGCCATGCTGCAATTCGGGCGCCACTTTCAAATACTGCATTTTTCAGTTCTGCCCTCGGGGCCTTTGCAGAAATGCCCCTGGTACCGTGCGTGTCACCGGTACTTATACCGGCTCCCCGTACGGTACGGGGACCAGTCTCGTACCAGTTCTCGGCTGCTGTACTCGTACTCAGTGTGACTTGCTGTTTCGGCATTCGGAGTCCAAGACTTCGACTTTGTGACTTGCCACTGTGTCTGCGTCCGATCCTCAGTCTGAGTCCGTCGTGTCAAGTGAGTGAGTGTGTGTGTGTGTGCTCTCACTCTCTCCCTCTCTCTCCTCTCCCTCGGCTCACCCTCAGCCTCACGCTCGTTACAGAGAACGTACCTGGTGTATGCTGGTGGTCGGCAGTGGTGTTGACGTCACGTACATTGGTCTTCAACTTCAATGCGATCCAGTCACATGAACGTAGAGTAGGAAAGATAGGCTGAGTAGTGTAGGCTGGGCGCTGGGCGCTGGGCGCCAGACAGTAGGAGAGACATTGGATACAGTGTTGGTGTGGCCAGAGAGCGTCGGCATTGGCACTCGAGTTCACTGTATTGCTCTTATTTGGATGGTATCTTGGTGCATTTGAGCTCTCTGCTTGGTACATGACTATCTAAAATACTTCGTGATTTTGCTATCTGGTTTTCAGTCTGCAATCAGACTCGACTCTGGACTTGCTCACAATATGCACACTTGAGAACCGATGGCAAAACCGAACTCTTTCAACTCAGAACAACAATGAACTTGTATTAAACTCACTCTGAATCAACTGTACAACTTGCGGCTATGGCCGCCGAACATTGTCTCTACCACCCCTCACTCTCACATGCACACACGTACGAGGATCACCCTGAATGTCCACGCTGCACAGACACACACACTCTGTACACCCTGTCTACACCAACAGCTGGGCGGCTATGACCGCCGTCGTGTTCCTCCTCCTAGCTATGACCGCCAGTGTCACTATCTCGCTGGTTCGCTATGGCTGATGTCTTCTTCACAGCCCACTTCTACTCCGGGCACCTGCAGACCTCCACGCACAAGATACCTAGGCAGCACTTCCGCATGGCTCACAGGCGAATGAATGCATGGCTGGACGCTGCCTCTTTATTTATACCTCTTTGAAGGCACCCGGGCCTGCCTAAAAACGTGTGGGCCTGGGCCAAAATGTGTGGCCCAAAGAAGTTTCCAGACGTTTGGCCTTCTGGGCCAAAACGTGTGGAACCCACAGCATGGTCCAGAACCTTCCCCCCGTGCAGCCCCTACCCCTGGTACTTGCTGACTGGACTGGCCTACAGGGACCTACGAGCTTCTAGCGCTTAGAGACTTACAGACAGACTCTAGGCCTCAGTAGACTCAGATAGAGACTTGTAGAACAGACCTTCCTAAGCCTAACGGTAACTGACCTAACTCCTAATCTACAGACCTAGGGATCGAGTCTCACACAGATCGCTGGGCCTCTGTACAGGGTACAGGGTAGGTCTAGGGATAGAATCTCACCCAGCACACAGGGTCAATGTACAGGGTTTGGGCACAGGTCTAGGGATTGAATCTCTGTGTCTGCAAATGTCGGGTCTACTGGGTGGAACCATTTCATGTCTATCTCTCTCGCTCATATTCCATGCAAAAGGGTGTCTATGAGGTATAAGGGGGGTTCGAAGGGGCTTAAAATGCTTAAAGGGGTGCGGTTGAACTGTGGTATAATTTAATGTTTCCTCCTTTCTTTTTTTCGAATTTCGTAATGAGTCTCGGTAAGACACTCAGCCAAAAGTTGCTTTTTTGCAATTCTGCACGACATAGTTTTTTTTCAGATTTTTTTAATTTCCTTCTTTTCTTTTTTTGTGCTGGGGCTGCTCGGGACTTTGCTTGGCCCTGGCCTGGCTGGGCCATCCGAGCCAGGCCGAGGCAACCCCAGCAGCCTGGCTGGTAGCCCCGGTAATACTGTAATATTGATTGTATTCACAATTCCTCCACAGAGTCCTGCCAGCAAATCCAGGCCGCGCCTGCCAAACTGGCCCTTTTCGACTATGGGTACCCTTTAGCCGAAAATTAAGCGTAGCCGCTTGCTGAACAGCTGAAGGTAATTGCAGCCCCTGTGTAGATACTGGTAGATCCTTGGAAGACACTCAGATGTGATTGTTTTTCTTTTGACAATGAATGTCATCATTTTAAAGACTAAAACATCATTTAAAATGCTAAAGTGGGGATTAAAAAAAATCATAACAGCTGCGACAAACTCCCAACTCAAGCCATCCGCTTTTTCCTTTCTGGTTCTTTTTTTTTCCTTTCTTTATCGACTTGAATAGAGGAGAAGCATGGAAACATGACAACCGCACAGCAAAGAACTGAGGGCTTGGCACTGGACACATTGTTGATGGTGGCGTTGATTGGGCTGACATTGACATTTAAGTTCATTGTTTTTGCCTTCTCTGGTGTGGAACTTGGTGCATTCTGCTCTCTGGACAACACATGACTATTTGGCTTTCAATGTGACGTTGCAATCTGGATTTCTGCCATTCGCTCCTGCACATTTCCTTGCAATACTCACACTACTACACTAGGGCTTTTTTGACTCCTAACCGCCAAACCTCAAATCGGCCGCCCAGTGGGCTCTCCATCAGTCCCTAAGTGTGGTGAAGCTTCGCATGCCCTGTAGAGTTTTCATGGAAATCACTGAAGAGTGTGCATCTCATCTGCAACGACAAGTGACGTTCTACAGGGAGCCACTTCAGCCCGAGCAGATCGTCGCGTAGGCGTTCTACCGGTGGACGTCAGGCGAAACATATGTCAACAGCACATCATATTTCGGCATCGGTAGAGTGTTCGGACTCGTCGCCATTCACAATGTTACAACCGCTCTGTTGAGTGTGTACGCGGACAAGATATCGTGGCCAGTCACATTCATCCAGGTATGGCCACAATCGCGGTCAGATAAATTTAAAGAATTGCTAGTGTGAGGATGCCCTTAAATGTAATGGGCATCCCATCTAAATCTCGTTGGACAAGATCTCTCATCCGTGAGACAAAAGATATCCATCATCTTTTTTTTTTGTCAAAACTGGAGCCATACAGAAAACGATACCGTCTTCCCCCGAACACCGCACACTGACATCATGAATGCATACAAGCTATCATTGGCATCCAATACATGCATGATGAGGGTGCTTTGTGTTTGGGGGAAGACGGTAGCATGACCCCTGTAGTACCCTGTACAAACTACGGCATATACCAGCCACTTGAGAGGTGTAACCAAAGTTAATAAAGTTAAAGAAACTGAAATAAAGAGAATGAGAAAAAGGAAAAATCACACCAAACAATTTGCAACAAGAGAAATGACTCAGAGCATACTCACACTCTTTCAACTGAGATCTGGACGAAACTGCGGTCAGCTACATCCAGGTCAGGCTGTAATTCTGGTCAGGTACATTCAGGCAAGTCCTCGTGCGCGTATGCGCCTTCAGACGAGTCTCGCGCCTATACCATCATTCATACCCCGCCGTGACTATATCATCCTAAAATCAAGAAGGGGTTTGAGGATGATAAGAAAGGGCTTCCTGCACTTAAGGCAACATCGATATCTGGTACAGTGATAAGGAGGCCTCTTAAAAAGAAAAAAGAAAAAGGTGGTCTGATGTGGAGTTCTGGATGGGCTCCGAAGACTCGAAACTTCGAAAGGCTTCAAGCTTAGCAGATAACACACACGACTTGTTGGCGAGAATTACAGCCGAGGACCGGAGCTACTGCTGTTTCGAAAAGGTCACAAGACTCGGAACCAGATGTGAAAGAACGGTTCCTTCTTCTTTTTTCCCTGTTAAGAAGGTTGGCAGTCTTGAGATATATCCACAGGTGACCGGCCCCAGGCAATTCGAGATTATTGTGGATGTTATTGTAGATTATATGTCATCATTATTGGTTATCGAGCTTCTGTTATGACAGGTATGTTGAGAGTTTAAGTCTCTTGAAGTAGCGTGCAATTGAGGGTCACAACTCTGATAGGCATTGTAATCGAGCCATGAATGTCAGCTATGATAAGAATTCAACCTGAGAATTCTTTTATTGGGTGTGTCCCGACGGGCTGCAGCAGGACCTGAGCAGCCACTTCCACCTGGCCTGATGCTCCCGCATTGCCACGTGTTACAGGGTGGCACAACTCACCCCAGCAAGCTACCAGCGTCGATTGGCCCTGGCCATCTGCCTCAGGCCACTGAAAGAATGGTTCCTGTGACAAAGCACGTCACAGACCTACACGTAAGGTCAACTGCCATACAGTGCTTGCTCTTTTATGTGAACTTGCAAACACAAAATGAACCAGGTCTGAAGTCTGACCAGGTTCCGACCCATTTGTTCGAAGTTGCAAACATAGAACGAACGAGGACGGGAGTTGGACAAGGTTACAACCTGTTGTTACACAGCTCAAAGCTGTTGCTAACATGTAAGCAGCAAAGGCGACAAAACAGGAGTGTCCTTCAGGACAAACGTTAGAATTGGAACGATACAGAAAAGATTGGCATGACCCCTGCGCAAGAATGGCACACATGAATTGAGAAATGCCCCCCCCAACCCTTCTCCCCCCCCCCCACAAAAAAAAGGAGAGCGGGATTGAGATTGCCCCATACCTGAAGGCCCTTTACCAGTACTTCTAGTCACGCACTGCCACATCATCAAAAGGAGAAAAGAAAATGACAAATATGATTACACGTGTTAGCAATCGGACCCTTGCATGTTTCATCACTCTCCTTACACAATACTGATTATAAGCACCCTTCCTTCTCTTGATAAAAATAAACAACAACAAAAGAAAAAGCTGCAATGCCAACACCCAACATACAACCCACTGCCTCTCTCTCTCTCTCTCTCTCTCTCTCTCTCTCTCTCTCTCTCTCTCTCTCTCTCTCTCTCTCTCTCTCTCTCACACACACACACACACACACACACACACACATGTCAACACACAATTCGTCCAAGCGACACACAGCATGGAAAGCTGTTTTCTTTTTCTTCTTTTTTTTTTTGTATTGATTGAGCCTGGGAAGCAAACAACCTCCATCCTCTCCCCAGCAGCATAAACACATCAGAGGGCCTCTCCTTACTGCAGATCCTGAAGTGCAAATGTCATCCTCATACTTAAGGTACTTTGCACTATTTACAGAATTTTACAATATGTATGACTGTATTGGAGTGTATCTGCCTGCAGCTCAAAGTTCAAACTCGATATGCCCACACATGACAGCGTACCCGTGTAGGCATAGGGCCTCACCGCACCACTCACCAAATGTGCAAAACGAAGAGCATATCTCCTCCTACAAATGTGCAAAACGAATAATATATCTCCTGCTACAAACTGTGACGCCACAGGGATATCTGACTTGTGGCAGCCAAGCGATCTCCCACTAGAACATTGAAAGGTACACCTGGGATAGTTCTTGTCTTTTTTGAAGTTTTTTCATATTTTGTGAGTGGTGTGGTGAGGCCCATCGCAAGGGAAAAGAAGGAGATGAGGGAGAACGAGCCAAAGATAGAACGTCCTTTTAGTTTTTGAGTTTTAACAGATGCTGGCACCTCTCCCCTTTATTGGCTTACAACTATGGGGATCACAAACATGTCATCCCTCCCTCGATAAGTCACAAACATGTTTCCCTTGATACTGCATCCCTCGACAAATCTTATACAACAGGACTCAGACGGCGTGTTGCTTATATTGCAAAACTATTAGCAGAGCACTGAACCCCTCACACTCTCAAGAAGCTGCTCCCGATGCCTGTAGCATTGACCTGCCTTAAGCCGCCAGTACCCGGCCCCGGTCTTGAAGAAAATGTTTTGTCCCCTACTCCGAAAGTTTGCAGTGCCAGCCAAAAAAGAAAAAAAGTGCGCCGCTGGAGGTTCGGCAAAGCTTCTCGTGCAGTGGACTGGTGGTTTAGCCCAAGTTTCTTCTTAAAGGGGGACAGCTTTGGGATATAACAATTGAACTGACTGGCCCTAGGTGTTCTGCTCATTTGATTGCATCGGGATTTGAACTTCGAGTCTGTGTTTCAGCAGTTCATGGCTCTGAGCTAGGCCCGGTCAGTTGTCGGCACCGACAGTTGTTCCGCTGTCAAAGCAGAAACCGTTACAAGGGTATCTGCTCAGTAAGTCGGACATTGTTTTGCTATCTACTGAAAATTTCCTGATAAATGATTTGATGAGTTAAGGAACTGCCAAAAACTTATTCAAACCAACCCTGTGATTGGAGATCTAAAGTTTCATCTAAATCAAAACTGGACATGATTATTGTTGAATACAAAGTGCTTGCCAAGGCAGTCATCCTGACAAGCCGTCGCAGTAATTTTCGGTTGCCGTGAACTGTTCAGACAAACTAGATGACCTGTTGCGGCTTCGCTCGCAAAAACGAATATGATGGGTGATGCATTCATGGTTGTGGCATGCCTTTAACCCCCTCCCC